ATACTAATATATATATATATATATATACGTGTGTGTGTGTAACAATTAGTGGGTGTTATTTAAGATCCTAGATATTTCATATATGTATTTACGCTTTATTATTTACATTGTTCGGACTGTTGTTCTCATATTTGTTGCGATATTCACGAGGTTTCAGCCGTTGTACGCTCCGGCCTTCTTCTGGTGATTGGAATTTTGTCCTGAGCCCTTTATTTAGTCCACGACTTTAGTTCCACGAACCGTGTCTTTTCTGGATGTCTTAATTATCTCCCTTTAACTGATCTCTCGGGCAATGAACTCACTGGTTCCAACTTTTATCCACTGGCCCATGTGCTCTTGAAGACACATCAATGTTTGAATTTATGGACCCTACAAACTTAATGTATTAAATACTAATTTTTATCTGAGCTCATATTGCAATTTTGTCGTTGTTATGTTTTTTTTCTATAGTATTCCGTATTACTGGATCTCGTATTTATTTCTATGCTTGGCCCCCTTAAGAGATTTTTATGGCCTAGCTTATGTGCTGATTCTAATCACCTGAAGAAGATCGGGTCGTACAAAGGTCGAAACATCATAAATATGGCAATGAAGATGAGGACAACAGTCCGAACAATAGAAATAATATAATTAATACCTCATCCCATAAATATAGACGGTTTATTGTTTTATCCTAAAAGATATTGGGTTAGCGGCAATAGTTATATATCAATTTATTCTAAAGTCTATTGTGTAGAAATAATTCTTGCTCAAAATATGGTTATTTGTAGTTATTGTATAGTGTTGTTTGCAGATTTTTAACTCCTTATCTTATCATTATTGGGTATTTTTCTTTATTCATTAATTGTTTGTTGTTGATTATTGCTATGAAACTTATCTGAGTCATAATTGTTTTAAATATTATTTTTGTCTCTAGGTCTTAATGCCGAATAGATCATCCTGAGTACTGATATGGCGGGTAAGAATAATTTTGGAGCATATGTTTATTTTGCACACGAGTGACTGTCTTCACCGTGGATAAAACAAGTAATCTTGTTTTCTTCCATGAAAATGCAAAGATGGATATAGCAATAATACAAGAAAATACTTCACCCGCTGTATTTACCTGATCTTGAAACAATCGATTATTACTGTAAAGCTCTTCGAATATAGAAAAACCAATTTGAAGCGTTGGTCGATTTTTTCACAAAAGATCCTGCTGAAGTTTGCACAATGGGTATCAAATCTCTACTTGATAACTGCTAAAATGTTATTGCAGATAATGGCGAATACAATAAGTCCCCGCCTATTCGCGTTTCAGTATTTGCGGCTTCACACCTTCGCGGATTTCTCTTTAGAATATATGTAGTTGTTATTCGCGGAAACCCCGAATATTCGCGTGTTTTTTTCTTAAGAACATATGTACAAATTGTTCACTGAGAACACCCTCGATTCGCGTATTTTTCGATGGAACATATTTAAAATATTCTTGTATTATTTTCCTGTTATTTAAGTGACTTAAAACATATAACAGTCCATTTTCATCGTAAAAATTGGCAGAATTGTACAGCTTCATTGTAAAAAACAAACGCAAAAACATGCGTAGTGTTTGGTCTTTGTTCTGTGTTAGGGGCAGCGGCTGGGGTCTTAAAAGTGGCTTATGCTAAGTCTGGAGGCATCATCACAGTTCTGTTTTTTAGAAAATGTGTTAAACTTTATAGTTTATGTCTTCTTACAGATATTTTATACGGTATTTTCAATGGTTGTATCGATCTATGCGTAATGAAAAACGTTTTATTTACGCGTGAAAGAAACCTTACGCTAAGTGTATGATCGCCAGTAATATTTTTCAAAAAATGTTTTAAAAAGGCTCTGAAATGTTTCTAAAGTGTTTAGGATGAAAGTTTAAGGGGGTTTTAACAATCAGAATATGTATGTATAAGCAGTTTTAGAGGGTAACAAGTTTTTGCGGATTCTAACTTTTTGGTACCGGTCCCTAAACTCCGCGAATACGAGGAACTCATTGTATTTAATTAAATGAAATTTGAGAGAAAATTATGTTCTGAACAATAAATTTGATAAAGAAAATCGGAAAATATTTATGTGTAAACCAAATGGAATAATGAGAAAATATTGTTTTGAGGGAGAAACAAACGTATTTAAATTTACTTGATTCAAAGAAATGCGATTTTACACGTATGATGCACTCAAGTTTTTACTATTTCTGCTACAGTGTTTAGGATGAATCTTTAAGGCATATGAGTTTTTAACAATCAAATAGGTACTTGTAAACACTTTTAGGAGGTGGGGTTACAAGTATTTGCGGATTCTAACTATTCGCGATCTGTAATGGTCCCTAACCTCCGCGGATACGAGGAATTTGCTGTAAGTAATTAAATGAAATTTGAGTGAAATTTATGCTCTGAACAATAAAATTGATAAAGAAAATCGGAAAATATTTATGAGTAAACCAAATGGAATAATTAGAAAATATTATTTTGATGGGAGAAACAGGAGTATTTAAATTTAATTGATTCAAAATAATCCGTTTTAATCCGTTTGAAATTGTAATCCGTTTGAAATGGCTGTAAATTTTATTTTTGTGTGCAAAAAAATATAGCATCCTAACTACTCATCAGATATCGTTGTTAAGAATAATTTTGGTGAATATGTTTCTTTTGCACACGATTGACTGTGTTTACCGTGGATTAAACAAATAATCTTGTTTTTCTCTATGAAAATGAAAAGATGGATGCAGCAATAACACAAGTTAATATTCTACTCCACCTGCTATATTTACCTAATCGTGAACAATTCGATTATTACAGCAAAACACTTCGAGTATGGTAAAATTTCATTCATAAATACCAGATTGAAATGTTTGTCGAGTTTTTCACAAAGAATCCTGCTTATGTTGGCTGACAGAGTATCGAATCTCTGCTTGAGAATTGGTAAAGCGTTATTGCAAATAATGGTGAATATTTAATTAAATAAAATTTCAGTGAAATTTATGTTCTGAACAATAAATTTGATAAAGAAAAATCGGAAAATATTTATGAATAAACCAAATGAAATAATGTTAAAATATTATTTTGAGGGAGAGACAAGCGTATTTAACCCTAGAACACTAACCCTGTGTATATAGTACCCAGCGCAAATTTTCTTATTTTTAATTACAATTCTCAGTACCTGATTTTCTTACCAAAATAATGTTTTTCAGTTCCGATTAACGTGAACTCAAAATACAAAGTTCGAAATGCCTGCATGAAAATTATTTCAAATAAAGATTTATATTCAATATTATTTTTGATATTTTTAAAATACGGGTATGATATACACTTCTTTAATAGATTATTATTTTATTTTATTTCAAATAAAGATTTATATTCAATATTATTTTTGATATTTTTAAAATACGGGTATGATATACCCTTGTTTAATAGATTATTATTTTATTTTATTTCAAATAAAGATTTATATTCAATATTATTTTTGATATTTTTAAAATACGGGTATGATATACCCTTGTTTAATAGATTATTATTTTATTTTATTTCAAATAAAGATTTATATTCAATATTATTTTTGATATTTTTAAAATACGGGTATGATATACCCTTGTTTAATAGATTATTATTTTATTTTATTTTAAATAAAGATTTATATTCAATATTATTTTTGATATTTTTTAAAATACGGGTATGATATACCCTTGTTTAATAGATTATTATTTTATTTTATTTCAAATAAAGATTTATATTCAATATTATTTTTGATATTTTTAAAATACGGGTATGATATACCCTTGTTTAATAGATTATTATTTTATTTTATTTCAAATAAAGATTTATATTCAATATTATTTTTGATATTTTTAAAATACGGGTAGGATATACCCTTGTTTAGTAGTCGTGTAATTTTAATTGATGTATAGTGTTCTAGGGTTTAATTTACTTGATTCAAAGAAATGCGATTTTTTATGTATGACGCTCTCAAGTTTTTCCTATTACTGCTACAGTGTTTAGGATGAATGTTTAAAGCATATGAGTTATTTAACAGTCAAATAGGTACGTATAAGCACTTTTAGTGGGGGGTACAAGTATTTGTGAATTCTAACTATTCGCGGCCGATACTTGTCTTTAACCCCCCCCCCCCCAATACGGGGGACTCACTGTATATAATTAAATAAAATTAGTGTGGAATTTATGATCTGAACAATAAATTTCATAAAGAAAATCGGGACATATTTATTAATAAACCAAATGGAATAATGTGAAAATATTATTTACAGGGAGGAATAGCCTTATTTAAACTTTGTTGTTTCAAAGAAATTCGATTTTACACGTATGCTGCTCTCAAGTTTTACTTAACGTATTCTTCCTGCTCCTGGATCCCGACAATTTGATTGAGAGTATGTGGTGAGCGATTTAACCTACATCGTAAAAATAACTGACCTATTTCTGGCAAATTCACATTTTGGAAAACATCCTCTTTACTTTCGAATGACCCCTTCTTTAACTTTTCGACCATAATTTGATGCTAAGTCGCTGAAAATTAATTACTGGCCGCCAGTTGTCATCTGCGCCGAATTCAGCTTATTAGGCATGCACTTCGAGACAGTTAGGTTGGCCTTGTTTGTCACGCTGAAAAGAAGACATTTTTTTGACCTCTAACCCTTCTGTTATATCTAAATTCTCTATCTCAGTCTCTTTTTATTTTCTCTCTGTTTTGGTCTCTTGAGAACTACGGTAGGCCAAACGCAATGAACTCCATCGCGAAATGCTGAACTCTGTGGCGAAACTAAAGGTTGTTAGAGGTCTTCGCAAGTATGGCGAATTTTTTAAAATGTCCTTCTGGACTAAGCTAAGATCTAAAGCCTTACATTATTGCTTCTTCTGGGTAAGCAAATGTGAACAATTCGCTGAACAATGCCTTGGGCACTTGTCTAATTCGGTTTCGTTCTAAATGCTTCAGGGAGTTATTTGTCCTAGACGAGGTGCGAAGTGGGGGAGGTATGTTTATTAAAGTGGTGTACAAATAAATACATTTCCAACGCTTGTATCAGACGTTAAAGACATTCCTGGGAAAAGAGAGCTGGAAAGAATAGTGTGTGTGTGTGAGAGAGAGAGAGAGAGAGAGATAGAAAGAGAGAGAGAGAGAAATAAAACTTCATGATGCCTAGCCTAAAAATCGTTGGACCAAAAGGCGGGAAATGATCAGATCGTTTTTTTTTTTGTTTTTTTTTTTACTTATTTTTTGGTTGATTCTATGTAAATCGAAATGTTTGATTGCATTTAGAATTACAGAAATCCGTTTCGTCTTTTGGCAAAAAGCGTTTAACTTATTGACCGAATAAAATTCAAGATAGGAAGATATTAAGAAGAAAATTATTTTCCCTGACGAAGGAAAACTTGGACATAAAAGGGAATGGAATAAATGATAAAGAAAGAAAAAAGAAGAAGAAGAAGAAGAAGAAGAAGAAGAAGAAGAAGAAGAAGAAGAAGAAGGAGGAGGAGGAGGAGGAGAAGAAGAAGAAGAAGAAGAAGAAGAAGAAGAAATAAAGCACCAAGAGAAGAGCAGATAAGAGAAATTAAAGTTAACGAAATAAAGAAAGAAATAAAAAGAATTAATGAATGAAATCAAGACATATGAAGTAAAGAAAGAAACAAAGAAATAACAAAAAAAAAGAAAACAAAACAAAATAATGAGAGAGGGAAAGAGAGAAAAGAACAAACGAAAAGAGGAAATAACTAAAAAAAGAAAAAAAAAAGAAAATACGAAAGCCAGATTTTTAAGAGATGTAAGAACAAATCAGATAAAATTTTGCTGGGAAAAAGAAGAAAGGAAATTTGTTTTGTATGAAAACAAGATGGAAGGCGGGAAGGAAGGAAGAAGTGATGGATGGAAGGGAAAATTTTGAAAACTAAAAGATCGAGAGAACGAAAAATAAAAATGAAAGAGAAAAAATGTCTGAAAAGAAAAACAAAAAAAATGAAAGAATTGGAGAAAAAATAGAAATAATCGATTTGAAAGTGAGAGAAAAATGTATGGTAAAAAAGGAAACAAAATTCGAAAGAAAGAATAATAAGATAGAAAAATCTATAGATAAATAAGGAATGTAGGATAAAAGTAAAAAATGGAAAGAAAAATAAATTAAAGTGAGAAAATGGGAAAGAAATGAGATGAAAAAAATAAAAGTAATTAAAAAAGGAATGAATCAGAAAAGAATACTATGAATGAGAATCAAAAAATGATTAAAAAAGAAGAAAGAATGAAAGTTAAGTAGTAGGAGTCAAAAATCAATAAAAAACCATCAAACTGTTAGAAAGCATAAGAAAGAAAATAAATCTACCAGAGGAAAATTATGTTCAAATCCCTTGATTTTCAGAGTTTAAAAACGATAACAAAAAAATAGATGCATAAATAATCAATGAAAATATTTCAGGTTTAAGAAGACACCACAAAAGAAATAATTGAAGCTTAAAGAAAAAGAATGGTTAGGTTGACAGAGAGATAGATGAATAAACAGAGAGAAAGATCGACATAAACATACATGCATTGAAGTAAATATGAATGGATGTAGATAGATAGATAGATAGATTCGACTAAAAAGCGAAATATATAGATATATTCGAACAAAGTGTGAGATAGACATATATGAACTGAATTAAATGTGATTGAACTTATATATATATACAGATAGATAGATAGATAGATAGATAGATAGATAGATAGATAGTCTGGAACACAGAGGTAGATAGATATGAACAGAAATAAATTTAAATGGATCTAAATAGATAGATATGAACAATCTGAGATAGGCAGATATAATCAGCGATAGATAGATAGATAGATAGATAGATAGATAGATAGACGGATAGACGGGAACACAGATGTAGACAGATATGAACAGAAATAAATTTAAATGGATCTAAATAGATAGATATGAACAATCTGACGTAGACAGATATAATCAGAGATAGATAGTAGATAGATAGATAGATAGATAGATAGACTGGAACACAGAGGTTGATAGATATGAACAGAAATAAATTTAAATGGATGTAAATAGATAGATATGAACAATCTGAGATAGATAGATAGATAGATAGATAGATAGATAGATAGATAGATAGATGAATCTTACCTTCGTTTTCGTCTTTTTTGTCTGAAGCAAAGACTAAATAAGTCCATTTCCCTTCTCATCAAATATACTTTATTCGTTTTCTCGCAACTATGACATTTAATTGTCAAATCTCTTCCCTTATTTGCTCCTGAAATTCTATCAACAACATCGTTAAGGCCGTGAGAAAACTTATTTAGTGTGGTCATACCTTGGATTCGATTTTTCTAGATTTGAGAAAAATGGATGACTGAAGTAGTGACGATGTGGTTCCAGAGATGAATACTTTGAATAACAGAAAGTAATCTTGCAAATCAGGCGGGTGTTTTAGGAAAAATAGAAAAAGAGGGAAAGTTTTACAGTTAAAAATCAGTCGAAATTTCAGGAACTAGTTATGAGGAAAGAAGTCCTAGAGAATTTAACACACACAGAATATATTGAATGAAAGAGATACAGCTAGCAATCTACTTAACGTGTGAATGTCTGACGAAAACTGCAGAAAGAGATAAAGCCGATAAAAAATGAATGTAAATTGTCAGAAAAGAAAGTCGAGCGGGGGAACTTTACGAAATACCGGATGGATAAAGAGTGTTGAAAGAAATACTTCATATATATATATATATATATATATATATATATATATATAAAGTTACTCCAAAATTCGCTTGAGGATGAAATGGAACTAATGTCTTTGATTTAATCACAAAAATTAAATTCGTGGCTTTTTTTAGCTTCCATTTTTGAAACATGGTTAGAACTGTGTAGCGAGAAAATCATATTTTAAATCAATTAATTTATAATATATATATATATATATATATATATATATATATATATATATATATATATATTTTTGGCTGATGAATGTTTTGTGGTCATCAAGTTGCACATGTATTTTACTATAACTTTCTTAATTCTAATTAAATATTTTTGATAGATCATATATTTACTGTGTTCGATATCCTGCCGATTTATATAAGGACGCGATCCTGTTGCAATTACTAACTTGAATGATTCCCTGAAATCAAATATAAGAGAACATTAAAGCAGACTTTTATATATATATATATATATATATATATATAGGCATTACGCCCCAAGCAAGGCGTGAAGACACTAGGATGCAGGGGGTTGCGGAAGATTTGGAGCGAGAGCAGATAGGAGTGATAGAAGAAAGGATGAGGAGAAGGATAGTGGGTAGATCAAGGTAACTGGAGATGTCGATTGACATTACATTTGAATAGTTGGAGATTATAGCTTTCAAGGAAACAGTAATTTGGGAAGGTGTTCCACTGGCGAGAGGTGCAAGGTATGAAGCTATTGGAGTAGAAGAAACGGCTACATTTGAAAGTTTCTACGGTGTAAGTATGGGAGCGGGATGCCAGCCTCGTAGGGCGCTTGAATTCATATATATGTATATATGTGTGTGTGTGTGTGTGTGGTCATCCACAGACAGGCAGTTTCGCAGCATTTTTAATGTCAAAATTGCGGTCAGTCTCGTTAGCAATTTGATGTATTGTCTTGTAAAATATCTTAATGTATAATCTTATATATATATATATATATATATATATATATATATATATATATATATATATATAGAAAGGCTTAAACACTAATATTCCATGGTCATAATTTATTCCATTGGAATCGTAAATACGATCCAATTAATCAGACCTACAAATTGATCGTATGAATTGGATCGTATTTACTATATACAATGGAATAAATTGTGACTATGGTGTTTAAGCCTTTTTATTATAACCTTACACTGTCCTGGACATTGAGTTCTACCTGGATTCTATCCTCTTGGAATTATTTTTTATACAAATATATATGTATGTCAATGTATGTATGTATATATGTTTTAGATATATGATTGCATATGTATGTGTATATTTACCACTAATATCTATCAATCTATATATATATACAGTGATGATAGTCTGTCATTGTTTACATAGAGGATTTCTAAGCAACGATAAACACATGCATATAAGACGCTAGAATCGAAAATAGCACCGCATCTCATGACCACACGAGAGTGAATTGGAGAAGTACGAAGTATGGGAAGCCGTTGGTATAAACCAATGGCTTCTGTTACCAATTATAGACATTTAAGAATATTTGTAGAGATTCCATAATTGATTTTGTTTAGGTCATCAGAGTAATGTCCGTATATTGCTTAATATGTTGTAATTGACATCTTTGATAATAGCTTATGTAAGCCGAAAGCTTAGATTGTATTAAAAAAATATGGATCAATATTTTGAATTTCATTCTTCGTTCAACGATAATGTTATTAAACTTATCAGACGTTAGGAAAAAAAATTACATAAAATAAATAGACAACACTTGTCTATATTATTTAATGAAACATATTGGCATCAATTATAGATCAAATATGGAATACCATCCGATAGAATGACAGGATAGGAACAAACAGAATGCGTGTATAAATCTACTAACATGTTTCGCCTATATCTTATGCTCATTAGGAAAGGAAATAGGGAGTAGAAAAAGAAATTTTTGGTATACTCTTTGTTTTATATTGCTTAAGCAGACCTCGCGTAAATTCTGCTTGACAAGATAGATAGAACTGATATATATATATATATATATATATATTTTATATATATATATATATATATATATATATATTCTTCTGCTTGACAAGATAGATACAACTATATATATATATATATATATATATATATATATATATATATATATATATATATATTCTTCTGTTTGACAAGATAGATACAACTGATATATATATATATATATATATATATATATATATATGGGGGCGAGTCGTTAGAACGTTCGCATTCTGACCATGAGACCCTGGTTCGAATCTCTCCACTGTTGATTTGAGTTATCTGTCCGGACGTGGCAGTCCCAACTTGCAGCACTTTTGGAAAGTGCTTGAAAACCATACCACGGGTTGAGTAGACGAAACACTCGAGTGTGCCGGCATTGTTCAGATTGTTGATCAGGATAGATAACACGCTCTCTCCTAGAAACATTAACTAAGGTCTGTTCAGCATAGTTGCAGTATAAAACAAAAATTAAAAATAAGAAAATATCGGTGTTGAACAAACACAAATGTGCCTGCGCGAGCGTCGGCAATAGGGATTGTCTAGCCGTACTAGTAGACTGGTATCCTCGAATACGAGTGGCCAGCTAATTTTGTATTATAATTGGACTCGATGTAAAATAAAATAGCTTTATATTAATAATATATATATATATGTGTGTGTGTGTGTGAACGCGCGTGTGTGTGAGTGTGTTTTTGCTGGTAAGTGGCTGTATGGCATCCGACTCGTTGTTGAGCAACACCCATGTGTTTGTTGCCATGTGTACTATTAAAGATTGTCATACCGTAAAAAGCGATTTATGTCTTAAAATTTACCCCCAAAATAGGGGTCGTCAAAATGCTAACCTTAAATCATGTAATGTATCGGAACTGATAAATAGACTCATATAGTTGCCCCATGGATAGCATTAGTCTAAAAATTCCTCGGTATGATAGTTAACGATGTAAATTTTTCTCCTTGAATCAAATCACATTATAAGCATGTAATACAATAATAAATATATTAAAACGAGTTTATACTTCTTCATTTAAAATGCAATATTCAAGTGTCGATTAAACCACTCTTTGCAAATGTTTCCTTGAGCAACACGTACACGTAACATAAACAATTCTTTCGTTCTTGATTGCTATGGATCCGTTGCTACCAATCATTATTGCTTATAGTTGCGTTAATTGACAACATTAAGATACATACAATCTCTATTTCTAATTGGTTTGGTTTCCTTTGGTTTATTTTATAGCTTATCAACCTCATTGAGTTATTTAATGCCGACAATATTTTTATTTCTGGTAATATTTTTCTTTTTCAAAAATGTATTGCTGGTAGTATTTTTTCCCTTCAAAAATATATTCCTGGTAATATTTTTTTCTCAAAATGTATTGCTGGTAATATTTTTTCCCTTCAAAAATATATTCCTGGTAATATTTTTTCCTCAAAATGTATTGCTGGTAATATTTTTTTCTTCAAAAATGTATTGCTGTTAATATTTTTTCTAAAATGTATTGCTGTTAATTTTTTTTCAAAAATGTATTGCTGGAAATAATGTATCGCTGGTAATAATTTTTTTAAAACGTATTTTTAGTATTAAAACCAATATTTACACTTTTATAGTGTTTTGACCCCAGTTTAGGGGTAAACTATTTGCCCATAGCTGGGACCCTAAACAGGTGCTACCACCCCGGGTCAGGGTGGGCCTGGGAACACCAGCAATTAAGAGGTGGTTCCACGCTCCTCAAAACTTCCTGATCAGCGGCCTTGCAGTTGTACGTACTTTATCGTCTTACCCAGGAGGCGGATGTAGTTTATCGTCATACCCAGGACGGCTATTTTTAAGTAAAATTCATTATCATTGTGGTGTTAAATAACAATATCATTTAGTATAACATGCAAACTTTATTTTTAATAGCATAATGTATCTGATTTTTCGGTGTTATGCAATAAAACATTTAAGATGCCATACATCTTTTTTATTTCTCATTAATGAATACAAAACATAAGCCATCCATATATATATATAATTAAAACACTTCAAAATAAGTATGATCATCACGTTCAGATGCAAAGATCTACTCATAAATATTGTCATTCGCCGTCTCGTGATATAGATCCCAGTCGGCTGTCTCATACTACGGATATCAGATAAAATCACGAAAACGTAGATAGATTTTGGGTCTCGTCTTATCTATAGGTCGCCTTATACGTGGAAATATACAGTAATGATATAACTGTTATGATAGAAACATATGCGTTCCACCATCTAAGTACTGACTGAGGTCAACGCTACTTAAATCTCAGTGATCAAATTTGTTTTAGAGAAATACAACCGCAACAATTTAAATTCCTAGATTAATTTTATTTGTCTTTGCGAGTAACACAACAATAATGGAGAATCCCACCCTCGAATTTTACAGGCTTCTTGGCCAAAAAAAAAACGTCAGTTCAGACTGGTCAGCTTTTGAGTGTTGCAAACAAATTATAATCAGAAGGAGAGGGGGGGGGCAAGACGAGACTCTTCGGTGGATGTGGTAAAAATACCAACCATATATCGCTGTTGCTATTCTTTTGCCTGGATGGATGTGTGCGGACGGCGTGTGAAATATTTTCCTAGGAAAAATAGAGGAGAACAATTTAAGTAGTTTAAGACTGACTAAAACCATCTACTCAGTTTATTGGAAATATATTGTAACATATACAGAATATATGGTTATCAGCAAAAAAATGAGCCCAAAATGCAAATTATTTGTCGGCGATAAAAGAATCAAGCAGGTACAAAAAAATTAAATTTTTAAAAAAATCTTTTCACCCCAAGCAAGGCGGGAAGCCAGTAGCACGCAAGGGGTTACAGAGAATTGAAGCTAGAGCAAATAGGAGTGATAGAAGAAAGGATGAAGAGAAGGAAATAGGATAATTCAGTACATCTGGAGACGTCCATTGACATTACATTTGAATAGTTGGAGATTATAGCTATCAGGGAACCAGGAAGAGGGGAGGGATTTCAACAGGCGAGAAGTGCGAGACATGAAGCTATTGGAGTAGATGAGACGACTACATTTAATAGTTTTGACAGTGAAAGGGTGAGAGCGAGATGCCAAAAATATCTGGAAAGTGTTCTAACAGAGGAAGGAAACTGCGACACTGAGATCCGAATACAAACCAAAAGATAAACAGAACATTAAGAGATATAAATACCGTTGTAAACAAAATAGAGTACTGACCTGTTACGTTTTATCTGTCCTCCTGTATGGCAGCGAATGCTCGAAAATCTCCTCAAAAATGAAGAAGACAATTGAAGCAACAGAAATGTTCTTCTATGTAAAATGTTGAGGATACCATGGACACAGCATCTGAGAAACGACGAGGTTTTGGAGAGAATTGAAACAAAAGAAAATTTATACTTAACATTTGGAAGAGACAGTTGAAGCTTCTGTGACAAGTAATGAGGTAAGACAGCTTGAACAATTTGATACTCAAAAGACAGAAGGTAAAAGGGACAGAGAAAAGCAGCGCGTAACATACTTGATGGGATTGAGCAAATGGATAACATAACAGGGTGTGGGATAAATAACAAGTCAAAACTTATTATAAGCTACAAAAATCAGGGACGTGTTGAGGGCCATGATCGCCTCAATCCTGAAGGTACACGTCATATTGTGACACTATTTAGGGTTGCGAGAAAGAAAGAAAGAAAAAAGAAAAGGCGAGAATTAAATTTAGTTGATAAGAAGCCATCACTAAAAGTACACTAAGCGATGTTATTTTTTGTTTTAACAAAGAAAAGTGGAAAGATTTTATTTTCATTAGCGAAGAAAGTAAGGTCGCGCATCTGTCGCGTTTGATTTATGACGGCACACCGAGTATGGCAATAATGAAAATTTCAGGTCGGCCAGGTGACCTACAGGGCAGAATTCTAAAAAGTTAAAAATTAATTGGATCGCGGAAAAATGACCGTTGGACCAACCGCAGAATTACGAAAACAAAAGATTAAACCATTAGCTATCTACGGAGATGTCGTTTGGAAAAGGCACCTGTTTATTGTCAAGAGCTGGCCATGATACCAAAATTATTTTATCGGAACAGATAATTGGCTGTAGCGTCCAGGTCGCCAGATGACCACCCACTTGATAATCGGTGAAGGTCCCGAGTGATGAATCCCAGGTGACATTCAGGATAAAATTGAGATTAAGAGAGAACACTACGGGTCGTATTGGGTTTTTGTCGGACAGAAGAAAGAAAAGAAAAGAAAGAAAGAAAAGAAAAGAAAAGAAAAGAGGAAGATATTATTTTTTTGAGCAAGAATTTTTAAACCGAGGCTAGTCCGGCCACACCCACGCCGCTGAGCGCCCATTGGCTGAATGGCGGCTTGAGCGTTAGGCGGAAGTAATCATGTGAAGAAGGAGGGGGGGCCTGTTAACGCCCCACTGAAGGGATCGGCGTGAGATGCCACTGTGAGAGAGAGGGAAAAGCTGTTGATGTCCCCTGAAGGGATTGGGCGAGATACCCATATGAAAAAGGAAGAATCTGGAAGGACTTCCAAAAATGGAAAATAATAAATTTTCCTGACCGAAAACAAAGAAGGGGATTGTGGATTTAGAATTATCAAGGAACCTCAAACACCGACAAGCCCACCCCGGTTTTGGTCGGCGTCCATATAAGCAGAGTCGCAACGAGTTGCGGCAGGCAGTTCGAAGTTCGCAGCTGAGTTCGCAGTTTGGTTGGAGTTGCACAGTGAGACCCGCCTCGCAGGAACCCAACTGAAAGATTCCACGCAAATCAAGACCTCAACTTCTAACCAAGAACAATTTATTTTTGAAGAACGACTTAGACTCACACCAACAAAACAAGTTTTACGAATATCGCCTGAAGATACACCAAGAACCAGTTTCTTAACAAACAAACAACTTAAGATGTTAAGACTCGGCTAACAAACACAAAGTGTCAAGAATCCATATAGCGGGTTGGGAAGAAGACGCATGCCTGTATTCAGTAAACAGATATAAAACATTGTTATCCTTTTTTTAACACATTTGAAATTTTCGAGTTATTACTTCATTTTCTTTTACATATATTTGTGCGGTGTTACCCTTGTCCGGTCTCAGCTTGCATTACGGCCCGATTGATTTCCTCTACCTAAGATCAAATCACAACGTGGGTAGGTTAGACTAGAAATCAAAACAGTTATTTAGGTAACCAGACGTTGAAGGTGAGCTGGGAACGACAAGGCTGATACCGAATGTAACCAGATTCCCATCAGAATCAGCAAAAGGTTAGAACGTCACATTTGGTGCCGCGACCTATACCAAGTCACATTGGTCATCGCGGGACAGTATAGGACGGCGACGGCGCGGAGACAGACAGGGTGACGTCACAATTGGCGCCGCGACTAGGACAGCACGGCGGGCGCGGCCAAACAGACGTCACATTTGGCGCAGCGACACCGGGGGACGTCACAATATAAAAGAAGATTGTATTTCTGAAATACGGTATATTTCATAGTGTCATTTGAGATCACGACTGCCGTAAAAAAAAGCAAACAGAAAAAGAACGATGTGGCGATGTATTTTAATCGACCGGTGAATTGAAGAATCAGCAATTAGTTAGAAGCCGATATATAATTCGACTCTTTGTTTTAAATTACTGAACTACGTTAGCTGTATCATTATATTTTATTGAATTCCAACAGCAGAAAACTTTTAGGCATCCCTGAACACAGTTGCTTTTAATCTATTTTCCCAGGAGCGTATGTATGTGATCGTATGCTGTTGGGATGCCAGCATTGTTCTCGATGTCGACTAAGGTGTAAAGTACAATTGCCGTACTGGTAACATAAGCGCAGTGTAAAGAATTAAGAATTTTAATATTCTGAATTTCATTTTTTTTTCCGTCTATTCATGGATGGTAAATAGTAGGTGCCAAATAGCAGTTAGGTTTTAATAAACGGGTCGTCAGAAGTTTTTATTTTCTAAATATGCAATAAACTTCGGTTTCTAATAAAGTCGATGGGGTCAGAAAATCATTTAAACGGTAAAATAATTAAAGAAATTGCTAAATGGAGTAGTTTTAATAACACTGGGAATAGAGTTTGGGAAATTTCTTCAAACAAAAAAGTCCCTGTCTATATTTCTGAAATGAGGTATTATGTACACTATTTACCTTATTAGAATTATTGTCCTCATCATTGTCGCCATATCTATTACAACGTTTCGGCTGTTGTACGCTCCGTCTTTCTTCATGTAGTTGTAATGTCGAACTGAATCTTTTATTTCACTCACTGCGGAACACTGTTCTAGTTCCACGTGCCATGTTCAAGGACACATGGCACAGTGGATAAATGCGTTAGTTAGATCCAGTGAAAGGACCCACAGAGTGTGAGTTCAATACCCGGTTAAGGCAGAGGGGAATTAACAGGAGATAACTGATAACTGGCATCCATTAATCGTGGAACTAGAGCAGTTTACGCCTGTGAGCGAAATAAAGGGTTCAGTTCGACATATTCGAACCACCTGAAGAAGGCCGGAGCGTACAACGGCCGAAACGTTGTAATAAATATGGCGACGAGGATGAGGACAATAGTCCGAATGATGTAAATAGTGAAAAAAGAGTCTCTCCTCGCATCCCTCAGCCATCTGAGAATGTATAAAACAATTAGGTGAAATTTAAAAAGTTATTTTCTTTATAGTTCATTAGCTGTTATAGAAGCGTGAGTTGTTTTTTTTTGTTTGATTTTTCAGAATTTTGTGCTTACCAATCAGAAAAAAAAACCCTCAAGTGCAAGTTTGCAATTAATTAGGAAAATGCATCCTGACTTATGATTTAAATTTGCAAACTCAAAACGACTATGCTTGTTTATGAAATAAATGTTTTGACCCTGAAGACGATTCGAGACAACAGCATAATTTTCTTGTCCGCCATAACATAATTGTTTCCTAACTTCAAAATTATTACAGTAAAAATATCTTAGAGTAATTAAAAATAAATATTTTTTGCCATCAAATCATTCAAAGCTATACAGGTGTTGACATGCACTTATGATTATACGTAGTTTTCGATAGAAAGAAAAAAAAGGGACAAAGAGTGATACAATTATTA